CGGCGTGCTGGTCACATTAGTGCTCGCCGGCAAGCTGGGGGACTACGACTACGGGGACATTCCCCTTCGCGATTCGGATGGAGCCTGGTTCCTGGGCTGGGGCACGATTTTCATCGGCAAACTGGTGTTTATCTGCGCCATCGGACAACAGATGAGCTCTGAGGTGAGTTTGGGTGGATTGAGCCCAAGGCTTGGTGAAGTTCAGTTTGGGTGAGCAATCCTCCATTCGACTTATTACAGAGTTCTAGGATTTCTGACGCTTTGCAAACGGGGATAACACGCTACCCGGACATGAATCCCTTAATTGAACGAGAAGTAAGTTGCGCCTTTTATCATACCCGAGATAATACCACTTACAGGATACCTATTTTTATATCTGATTCTCGTGATTTTACAGATTCAGTGGTTTATCCGCCAGATACGAATACAGGAGATTCGATTTGGTGCTTTCGATCTCTTTTATTTTGATTTGAAATCTATGAATAGAGTAAGTACCTAACGTGGCCCACCCCGATGCAGATTATGAGTTTCTGTTAAATCGTGTTTTAACAGGATTTTTTTTTATCCCTTAGATTATTGCTTCCAGTTTAACATACATCGTCGTTTTAGTTCAATTCTCAGCAATCTCAGCTCAGGGGCGTAGTCACCAAAAAGCACCATCTGATAAAACTTGTTGATCGGATTTATTGCGGAAAAACTGTGGACACAGAAAGAAAAAATTGACAGTCTTCTGAATTATTCAAGGTGGTGGGTTCGTTGTCGTTGGTAGGTTGGTTGCTGAAGGTTGCTGCCTGGGCCATAGGTTCCTAGTAGACGCCTAGTAGACGTAGGCGTAGGGGGAGGCGGCGTAGCCGTAGCCGCTGTAGCCGACGGCAGGCACGGCGCCGTAGGCGGAGTAGGTGCTGACGGCGGGGACGGCGCCGTAGGCGGAGTAGGTGCTGACGGCGGGGACGGCGCCGTAGGCGGAGTAGGTGCTGACGGCGGGGACGGCGCTGTAGGCGGAGACAGCAGGGTAGGCGGAAGCGACGTAGGGGGAGGCGAGGTACACGGCCTCTGCACCCTTCAGGTCATCCCCCTCAGATCATTGCTTCGAGTATGACATACATCG